CAAAAAAACTCACACACGCACAGACACACAAACTCACATGCATGGACAAACAGAAACACACATACAGACATGCACGCAAACACGCAACACTGAGAATCAGCACCAAACAGCTGCAACACACACACTTGTGCACACACACACTCATGCACCACAGACACACCTGTGCACACATACACCCATACCCACAGACGCACACTTGCAGATGCACACTCACACACTCACACACAGACACACACTCACGCACACACACTTATGCACCACAGACACACACTCACAGACACACAGTCATGCACACAGACACACACTCTAGCATACACACATTCATGCACAGACACACTCACAGACACACACTCACACACACAGAAGAAAAATGAAATAAAAAAACGGATCGCATCAGCAAAAGCAGACTCCCCCCGACACACACCTCGTCCTGCCTCCCTCCTTCATCACCCTCCTCCTCCTCCACGCTGCTGCACAAGGCAGCTCAGAGACACTGCCTGTCTGCCGCCTCCCTCTCTCTCCCTCTGCCTGCTGCCCTCTGTCTCTCTCCTCCCCTTCTCCCCCTCGCTCTCGTTTCTCCGCGTCACGCAGTCATCCCTCTCTCTCTCCCTCTGTCTCTCTCTCTCGCTCATCTGTCCGAGCCTGTGTGTGACTGCAGCATCCAGGGAGGAGAGGGAGAGAGAGTGGGAGAGAGAGGGAGAGAGGGAGAGGAGGAGAGAGAGGGAGTGAGAGGAGAGAGAGGGAAGAGAAGGAGATGGAGGGAGTGTGTGTGAGTGTGAGAGGGAGAGGAAGAGACAGAGAGGAGGAGGAGAGGAGGGGGAACTGTCGGGGGGGAGATTCCTAATATTCGGAAGAGAGGATTTCAGCTGTGGAATTGAGGGCGAGAGAAACAGCCTGTGATTCGGCTCCGGACACGTGTTGTTCTCCCAGAGCATTCCTCGAACTCACTCCTAGTGGACAAGGACTGCTGCAGGGAGAAGTGGGTCAAAGTTAAGGTTTGCCAGCCTTTTCAAAGTGTCTGCAGTCAAATCGACACTTCCCATCAGAACACCTTCTCTAAACCCCCCCACGGCAGGAAATGGAACAGGCCAGCTCCTTCTGAATGTGACCCCAGATAACCGCAGGCTGCCTCCACCCTGTGTGGGAGACGGGGGAGCACAGTTAAGGCCAAATACTAGGGGGGTATCTGTGGGAGAAAGAATTACTTTAGCACATTTTCACAAAGCCTTCCAGAAAATATTGCAACTTAAAATTTAGCAGACAGTGACTGGCTTTCGCCAGGGTTCGACCTGGTGAAGGTGTCTGCAGCTGGATGTGTAACAGAGCCCCCGGAGGTTGTCTGGGGAGCCTCGGTGAGCCCACTGACAGTGGCGTCTCTCGGATTTGACGGCATCAAACATGCACAATGCTTAAGAGTTACCCCTGTGGGTCACCCTGCTCGAACCCAGAGCCAACCGGGCTCTGGCATGGTTTCACCACATCTGGTGTCATGAGTGACTGTACCAGCCTCTCTGTGCCCAAACCTGCTCTGATTTACTGCACTGTACTGTGCTGTTACCCTGATCTCACTGTGATTTACTGCACTGTACTGTGCTGTTACCCTGATCTCACTGTGATTTACTGCACTGTACTGTGCTTTTACCCTGATCTCACTGTGATTTACTGCATTGTACTGTTCTTTTACCCTGAACTCACTGTGATTTACTGCACTGTACTGTGCTGTTTCCCTGATCTCACTGGGCTCTACTGCACTTCAATCTGTTCTCTCTTCTAGTTGAAATGCCGCAGTTTCTCCAAGTCCCTCTTGCAGTTGCTCAGAGCGCTGACCTATTTAAAAGCACCATGATTCTGGTTCTCTGGGACCAGAGACTCATAAATGATTCCTTTTTGGGCGAAGTCAGACTTGCCGAGCTCAGGGAAGCCCACCTTCTCTCCGCACGAGAGTGATTTCTGGGAGCGCAATGCGGATACTGTCTGAGCCTCTGTTCCAGACACACCGAGGGGGGGCAGACGAGCAGAGGGGTGGGGGGGAGCAAGGGGGGACCCACACTCACAACCGCATTGACACGTCCCCTCCCCTGTCTGAGAGCACGGCTCCAGGCTGCGTCCCTCACTCCCTGAGCCGCGCGGTCGGTGCAGAACGCCAGGGCCCGTCGGACCGCCGCGCGCAGGCGAGCGAGCCGATAACCGCACTGTGATCTGCTGCAGTCGCAGG